TCATAAGGCCCCTAAACAAAGATAAAACTCTTCTGTTGAATAGAGGCTGATACACACATTACACTCTTCACATACATTACCATGTTTGAAGACCACTGCAGCTGATTCAAGTGGCAAGCAAAGAAATTGACCTTTTCTTTCACTGAACAACACTTCATGATCAGAAAAACAGTTCCAATTATGACAAAAATACTACTTCCTGTTCCAGGAAAAGCCTATTATCAATTAAGTCTCTCACAGAACTGACTTTTAAGCCTAGTGCACTTAAAAGCTTCAGCAAGCAAGTGACAGCTCTTGTGTTGTAAAGTGGTTTTGCTCCAACCTTACTGTACAGTTCTAACTATGACATTATTTAGTTCCCATCAGAACTTTTGAGTTGGCCCAAATCACAGGATTTTGTTGAGCCAACTAACAGGAATAATAAAGCTCTGTGACTGGCCCTTTGCAAAAATCAAATACCTGGGCAGAATTAAGAAATCTGTCTGAACCTAGCAGGGTATGAAGCAGGATGTCACTCAAGTGGGATGTACAGTTCTGTAATTCACTGCTACACAGAGTTAACACAACATGCAACCTATGTCCAAAGGTAATGCATAAGCTTTCCAAATTCACCTCAGAAATGTGGTGAGTTTTGGGAAATTTGGTGAACTTCTCAGAATGTACCTCAGAAACTGTGAGAGAGACTATGCTGGCCATTATATCAGAGGGTGCTGACCAACCTCTTTTCTGGCATCTTCAAGACTGGCATCAGGACAAATGAAGACATCTCGACTGCACTGCACTGGTTCTTTTCCTGTTAGGCCTGCAACAGTCACCTTGATCTAACAGGAGAACAAATATATTATTACAAAACAAGAATTCAGGGCATTTTTCTTATATGTTAGTTCTTAAGTAATAGAAGCAAAGCTGTACTGAGAGCTTGTTCCTCTTATGACAGCCAAAACGGGAAGCACAGTGATGGAATGACAAAGTAGTGGCAGAAGGTAATTTTTACTTCAGTCATTTCTATATAAGTGAAGTTGGTGTGTTTATTTAAAGTATTATTTTCATTCCTAATGAAACAACACTGTGCTACTACAACTGCAAGAGTAACAAACAGCTTGAGGAATCCCAACAGCCAGAACTGTAGTAAATAGCTTTTCTTGAGCTACTTTTGAAATTCAGTTAAGCAATGTCATGAGCTGCAATGTACTGAGGTTTTCAGACCCCTATAGAAGAGGCACTTCCAGTTACTACACATGGAAGTAGCTGTGTTTTCTGACAGAGTAGGATTTACTTGAAATATTTGCTCTAGTTCACATCAGATTTGTATTTTGAAAGGTTACCAAGAAATGTCAGCATGACACAAATATTTGCTAACCAGAGATGATGGAGGTAAATTTTTACTTCACAGACCACACACTGAATTCCTGGAAATGAACCTCAACTTGAAGCAACGATTTCCCCCTGACCAGATTATTCACTGTCTCATACTCACCCCAGCTCTTCTCATAACATCAGTGGGGATTACAGTTTCCATCTCCTCTGCCCCTTTAGCCAGGATCACCAATGCCCTCTTGGAGGCCATGTCTTGAGGGGCTGCTATTAGAGAGGTGGTTGTGAAGGAAGGGGCTGAGGGGAATAAAAAGATAATGTGGTTAGAAGGCAAATCCCCTCATACAAGTACTTCCTCATGCTGAAAATGAACAGTAATTTGCACTTTTGCATGCTCTTTCATTTAAACCACCTCAAAATTCAGTCAATATTCTTAAAATTCATTTAAATCAATATTCATAATACTCATTTAAATCAATATTCATAACCATCCTGTTTAACTAAGCAGCTTTTTAGAAAGAATGCATTATGATATTAAAATATTAAGGCACTTGGGCAAGTGGGAGGCACAGCACATGAGCACCAGGACAGGAAGCAGCTTGGCCTAATCAAGACCTTAACCATGACTGTGTCTGCCAGAGAGAGGGGTTCAGGGTGGGTGGCAGAGCTGTTTTCAATTTGCACACCCTCACTCTTTCCGAGATGACTGACTCCCACCCAGGCCAGCACTTACAAAAAGGGCTTGCACGAGCTTTGACCTCATGTCTGGTTTTTAGTTTCCACCCAGCATGCTGCATGAGGAGTTTCCTGTGACTTAAGAGTGCCCCTGCAAAATCTCACCAACAGATTTTCTGGGTTATTTTGCAACTTTGTGGGGGATGAAACACATGTGCACATGTGTGATGGGGGAGCAGACCACAGGACCTAGCAAATGGAACAAACTAGGCTTAAGATATTTTTTTTTAAACTTCTGAATTCAAGTTGAGGTGAATGGCCAAATTTCCATTTGAAGGTTAAGTTAAAATAACTTTGCATCATATAAAATACCTACTAACTCATACAGGTCTGAGAGAAGGCTGTGAAAGCATCTGTGATGTGAGGAGGCATTTCATGGGTTACTACTCTGGAAGACAGAGATTTCTGTCCTATGCAGGGACCTTCCACCTAGAACTGCACATAGTACCTGGGAGCTCTTCATAAAATGTGATGCATGTTTAGGTGCCTACATAAAATCATCCTCACCCTGCTTTAACTTCATCTGTTTTCATGTTTTCTCCCTACTGGCAGCCTCCTTTAGAATGTTATTTTCTAGGATGCAGTAATATACAGCACAATATCCCACAGCATGCTGAACCACCCCAAGCAGAGTAATTCACTGTGTCATATCCTACTTTTAGGGCAGTTTTATGTACTGTCAATGCAAAGCCCACTGATCAAGCACACCCAAATCACAGGTATTAGTAGTAACTCCAGAACAACAGCTTCTTAATAGCTTGAGGGTACACATTGATTCTGCAAAATTTTCCTATGAATATGACTAGCAAAAAAAGACCTGAATAGTCAACATGCAGAAATGCTGCACTTGCTTTTTACTGAAGAAAAATAGTCTAGATCACAGCTTGCATCCCTGTCTTTCATTAATTCTTCAGATGAAAACAGGCACCTGATCCTGCAACCTTTACTCTTTCTCCTAGTTTTGCAAAATGCAGTCTCTCCACAGCGCCTTTAGATATTTATTGTACGATTCCTGAGCATTAGTACTGTTCTTCATGTGGGTGCATATGTAAATAGCTGTCCCACTACTACGGAAAGACAGTTTTTGAGAAGGCAGGACTAAGTTACACAGACCTAACAACAACTTAATTTAACAAGTCATTTAACAATCTACCTACACATAGTAAATGCCAGTCTCCCATTTGCACCTCAGTGCAGCTAAGGCCGCCTCAAACCTCTCACCCAAATGTTCAGCCCTGTGTGGGTACACGAGCCTTTCTGGAGATGGTGAATCAGAAACTCTAACCAGGGTGGCTTTAAAAGAAATCACACCCTGCAGCGCCCCGAGCACAGAGCCGCTATCCGCAGGCAGGGCAGGGCTGCAGGCGCAGAAGCGCGGCCCGCCCGGGTGGAAAGGCCGCGCGTCCCCATCGGTTCGTGAGGGACACGGCGCCATTCCCCGCGGCAGGGACGGCACGGGCCGGGCCCGGGCATGGGCCGAGGCCTCCTCACGGGCACGGCGGGGCTTCGGGCCCTGCAACGCGGCCGCCTGGGCACCGCAACCCGGCCCAGCTACCGAACCCTCCGCCCACACCGACACCCCCGCCCGCCAGGGCTCTCCGGGCCGGGCCCACGGCGGCCGCAGCGGCGGCGGCCACAACTCACCTCAGCGGGGCCGCGGGCGGCTCTGGGGCGCTCCGCCCCGGCCCCGGCACCGCCCGCGCTCCGCCCCGGCCTCGCCCCGCCGCTCCCCCGCGCTGCCGGCACGCTCCGCTTTTCTCACGGTCTCTCGGGAACGCAGAGAGCGCTCCGGTGCCCGCACCGCGACACGAGTCACCTCCTACGGCGGTGCGACCGCAAACCGAGCTGCTGCTGCCGCTGCCGCTACTGCCACTGCCACTGCTACTGCTACTGCTGCTGCCCCTCGGCGGCCTCTCACGGACCGAGCAGAACCGAGCCTTGCTCTTCTCCGCCCTCTGCCCGAAGCGTCTGCCCGACACTTGTGTTTCCTCAGGCTCACGGTGCACAGGGAATGCCTGTGGCTCAGGGATGATGCTGCCCTGGTTTTAAGGAGTTTCGGTGTTTTGAAGGAGAGACAGAGCTGCTAGCGGGGACCTTTAGGACTGCAAAGCCGTGCTGTGTACAAGCCTGCTCGCAGGTGCTGGCAGGCCCGGTCTGGCTTCGGGCTCACGAGAGCTCCGGCAGAGCAGCTCAAATCCAGGGGAGGAGAGCCGGTCATAGGGAAGGACCGCTGAGGGCTCTGCCGGGATCGATGCGGGGTTCAGCTCCCGCTATGGGGCGCTTTGTGTGCTGCCCACAGCGGACTCCGCTCAGAACCCTGGACAGGCTGGTCCTTGCTCTGCCTGCCCGTGTGCCGGCACACACAGGCAGGGCACACACACACGGACCATACGTTCGCTTCTCAGTTATAACTCAGCACCCAGCGTTCACCATCTCTGCTCCTGCCCGGCTCAGGGACAGAACCGCGCCCGGGGTTTGCTGTGGGGAGGTGCAGGGGGCGGGACCAGGCCCGGGGATTGGCTGCGAGGGGCCGCAGGGGGCGGGGCCGCGCCGTTCCCGTGCCGGCCGGCGGGAGCTCCGCACGCTCCCGGCCAGGGCGCGGCGCTCCCCGCGTGTCCCCGCGGTGCCCATGTGCTCTCAGCATCCCCGGCACGGCTGCGGCCTGCCAGCCCCGCCTCTCGCCTTTCATCTCCCGGGGATTCCACGCCGCACTCACCGGGAAGCCCCAGTGGTGAAAAGGGGCGACCGCTGACCGGCATCGCTGAGAGAGCTCTGCGGGCGCTGCCCGGCAGAACTGAGGGGTCGCGCCTCTGGGAGGGTCCGGAAAGTCCCGCCGGGCCGGGGATTCCCCGCCGCCCCCGGGATGACGCAGCCAGGCCCCCCGGGGGCGGTGGCTAAGGGCCGGTGCCGGGTGTCCCGCGCGCAGTCCCCGCTCCGACCCGCTCCGACCCATGGCTCCGGGCCGGGCGCTGCTGCCCGCGGCGCTGCTGGCGCTGGCGCTGAGCCCGGGACCTGCGGCCGCGCTGCCCTGCGGCGCTCACTGCCCGGCGGGTAAGGACCGTACCGGGGGGCGGTGACCGCCGTGTCCCGGCCCGTGTGACCGCCGTGTCTCGCCCCGCAGGTACCTTCGCGAGCCCCGGCTGCGGACGGGGAGCGGGCGCGCCGTGCAAGCCCTGCCCGGCCGGCACCTTCTCCAGCGCGGCGGGAAGCAGCGACTGCAGGATGTGTCGGCACTGCGAAGGTACCAGCCCTGCTGGGACCTCCCGTGGCAACGCCGTGCCCGGGTGGCACCTGCCCGGCGGGGGACGCGCCTCTGGCCAAATAACGCTGAAGCCGCCAGCCTGGTTCTTGTGAGAGCAAAGGCCCACGCTGGGCATGCTGTAAGCTAACACTGGTTTTCCCCTTGCAGCACCGTTTCGGTATTTGAAGAATTGCTCCTCAACCAGCGATGCTGAATGCACGTGCAAGGGGGGCCATCGCTGCGGCGATGATCGCTGCACCTTCTGCACCCGAAGCTGTGGCGTGGGTCAGGAGAGCACCAGCAACGGTAGGATCACCTTTCCCCAGCAGCTGAAAGCCCCTCTGCTTCCTGCAGCAGACAGAAGCAGATAGAGGAAGGACCTCGAGAGATAAAAGCTGCCACCGGTGCTAAGCACTCTGCATGGTGTGTGGAGTGAGCTCGGAGCAGACAAACCCACCACACCGAGCCCTAGTGCAGCTCAAATCCTGCACCAGTTAGTTCCCTTTGTATGGCAGCTCTTTGCCTGCCAGCATGAGGAAAACAGAACTCTGGAGTTAGGCATGGTTTGTGGCATCTTGTGCCAAATCAACTGGTTTTTTAGCCAAATACTGTACTGGTCTGTGGCTGACAGGGAAAGACTTGCCTTGCATACTCAGAGCTGCTTATGAAGTGGCAAAAATAATGTTTCATATGTTACATTTTAAATGTTATCTTGTACAATTTTACCTGTCCTTGTCTGTTGAAGGTTGCCGGACTTGCCGCTATGGAACCTTTAATGATCAGCCCAATGGCTCCTGTAAAAACTGGACAATGTAAGTAAATAAAAAAAAAAGTTTAAAATGCTACTGCTATTACACTTGACTGGAATTTAAGAAATTTTTTTCTTTTCCCCGTTTTGCTGTAAATGTCCTTCAGGTGTTCTGGAAACCAAATCCTGGTGCCTGGAACTCCAGCAAAAGATGTCATTTGCAAACATGCTTCAGTTAATTCCACTTTAGTCACTACTCTACCTACAACATCTCTTGACATTCCATTTTATATCACCGTGCCAGGTGAGTCATTGTGCAATATTGCTTATGGAGGTAAAGAATTATGACCTACTTAAACATACCGTAGCACATTCACCTTCCATTCAAAGCAAAAGTCCTTCCTTCTATGCATTTCCAGTGTTGCAGACTGATCCAGAAGCAGAATGGGAGACAAAGTTTTCAGCCAATTCAAGGGCAGTAGAATTTTGTTCTGTTAAGACTCAGAGAATGTTATTTGTTTTCTAGGGAAGGATGTTCAGGCAGACACAATCAGGATTTCTCTCGCTGTGGCTGGGCTGTCGTGCTTGGTGTTTCTGCTGCCTTTGTGCATCTGCTTCAGTGTCTGGCAGAAAAAGAAACTACATGCTGTCTTCAAGAAAAGTAAGATAAATACGCTCTTCAGTTTTTCTTTTTGAAACTAGACAGAAGTCAGGAATCCAGGTTAAGTGCCTTACAAAGGTAGCTGCAATAGCTTTGGGTTTTTCGGCCTTGTAAATCAGAAGCAAATGAAAGGGAAACAGTTTTGGAATTTTTATTGCAGAAAGCAATAAAAATTTGCTGTGGGCGTTAGGTCAAGTGCATGCTTATCCTTATAAGTGGACTATTTGTGATAGATGAGAAAACTCAGCTGCTCCAGTTAAAGGCCAGTTCCTTTTATGACTTCCAAGCATCATCCTTGGCCTGTGTGGCTGTAACCCCTTGGAGTTCTCTCTGCTCCAGAGAGGACACAGGGCCTGCAGTGAGTGTCTTGGAGCTCTGGCTGCAGAAGGAGAGGGGCATCAGTCAGGGTGTGCTGCTACACAGGAGCAGAGTCAGCCTGAATCCAGCACTGCCCTCTGAGAGCTCCTAAGTCCTGGGCACACACAAGAGTTCACAAAGATGAAGCTGATTCCATTCAATGTTGTTTATGGTTGGTTTGTTCAGTTTTTTGGGAAGTTCTCTCTCCCTTTCTCTTCCCCTGTTCTAAGGATAAAGTCTGAATCTTCTAGTGTAACTCTAAATACATCAGACCATAGCAGTGCAAAAATCTATTTCCCTCATGCTGGTTTTCCTTTCATTGCCATGACAGACAGACACCAGAGGCCCTGCTGAATTAAGGAAAACAAAGTGTGATAAATTAGTTTTATCAGATACACATGCTGTAGAGGAATAATTTCAGATTATAGAATAATGTGGAAGATTTTTTTTTCTTCCTGACATCCTGCATTTGTCACAGAGGGATGGTGAAATAAGATGGCTGAATAAATGAACAGAAAGGGGACATTTGTCCAGTTCTGGGCCCTTCACTTCAAGAAACATTGGGGTGCTGGAGTCAGTCCAGAGAAGGGTAACAAAGCTGGGGAAGAATCTAGAAGGTAAAGTCCTTGAGGAGTGGCTGAGGGAACTGGGGTTGTTTAGTCAAGAGAAAAGAAGGATCAGGGGAGACCCTGCCCTCTACACCTCCCTGAAATGTGGCTGTAGCCAGATGGGGATCAGCCTTTTCTCCCCGTGGCAGGACAAGAGGACACAGCCTTAAGCTACACCGGGGAAGTTCAGGTTGGAGATGAGGAGGAATTTCTTCCCAGAAAGGGTTGTTAAAGACTGGAATGGGCTACCCAGGAGGTGGTGGAGTCACTGTCCCTGGAGGTGTTCAAGAAACAACTGGACATGGCACTCAGAGCTCTGGTCTGGCTTACAGCATGGACAGTCAAAGGTTGCACTAAATGGTCTCAGAGGTCTTTTCCAACCTAACTGATTCTGTGAATCTGTTCTTTTATTTCAGTGCACACACCTGAGCAGTCAGTTCAGGAAGAGGATGCCTGCAGCTGCAACTTCCCTGAGGAAGAACAAGGTGAATATCAGAGTCCTGGCAAATCCACAGAATTGAGAGATCTTCTGGAGAACTAGAAATTGAACTGTCCAAGTCAGCCACATTTTTCTTTTGGAACACAGAACAAGAAGCTGTTTATGTAAATAGAGCAGGTGTCAGCACCTGAGTGCTATAGCAGTAAAAATCTCAGCCACCAGGGAAAAGGTATTTTTTTAATATTTCTTAAAAAAATAATAAAAAACCCTCAAAACTGTTTGCTGATTTTCTTCCTCTACGAGTAAGGATTTACATGTAGAAAGAAATACTGCATTTTAAAGCTCTAACAGAAGTGCAGAATAGTTTTCTGGTCCATCATTAATGTTACCTGAGCCATAATTTACATGCATTCCAAAAGGATCTGAAGCTAAAAAGGAGATCACATTGTAGAGTCACAGCCATCCTCTTGAGTCTGGAGCTCCTCCAGCAGTCCTGGGGTTTGTGTCTAAATACAGATGGAGCTCATTTGATCCCATCACCCCTGGAAAAAGATCCCTCACCACTGCACCCATCCTTACATGCAGGGGAAAAGAAGCCATGAAAATCTTGAGCTGCAAAGTGCTCCACAGCAGCATCTGCTGTTGTGTTGGCTGGAGGGAGGCAGTGGAAACACTGAGAGAAGCTGTGGTTGACTTGAACTTAGAAATAGCTGTAACTTTGCAGCTGGACTGCACCACCTTCAGCCCTACATCATTCAGCTTTGATCTTTTGGGTGACGTAAACTTTATGTACATTGCAGTTGTAAGTGTGATATCTTTGTGGTACTATTTTTGTAACTGAGGTTGGAAAGATTTTAACATCAGACACTGTATCTGTCTCTTTGATCAAATATCTGTTAACTTTGGTCTTGAGAAAAAAGAAAATACATGTTTGAGTCAGGACATTCGCAACACGGTTTTTAACCATTTACAAAACTCACATATTTTATTACTTCACTAAATGTTATTCAAAAAATAGAACCAAAACCCACCAGTATGTGGGTTAAAGGTGATTTTCCCCTCTCTGATTTCAATGAAAGAGAAAACTATTTTGCATTTGAACAACGACAAGCCATCTCTTCATTCAGCAGGGTACAACAGCAGATTCTTTTCACCAAGCCACACTTACACATTACACATAAACTTATGTACAAGTAAATATAAAATAGTAAGTTTTAAATAGTGAGAAAATAAGTGCCATAAAAAGCCTGAATGGTGAAGTTTTTATTTGTATCTCTAGCTCAAGTCTTCTCTCTATTGGTACTTTCAACCACTACGTCAAAATCACAAACTTGAAGGCGTGAACAGGACACATGAAAAGCCACCAAATTATTTATAAAGCTATCTATTTATAAATCAAAGAGTGACCTTTACATCATTAACTATATCTTAAAACAAGACAAAAAGACTATTTCTGCTTGTCATTAATTTCTAGCTCAAACATAAGGTAGAGAATTAATGTAACTCAAAACATCTGGTGTTTTCTCCTTGGAAAAAAAGAAGTAACGACTGGAATTTTACACGTTGCTACTAAATTCTGCATATATTTTGAAATGTATTTTTAAATGCTTCAAACAAAGTGCAAACCCCTTATTCTTCTTGTCCATACCATACCTGAAGCAGAAATGTCTGGACACATTTCCACCAAAACTGGAGTTCTGGAGTGTTTCAGGGAATAGTCATTCACAAAAGAAAGTACATTCTGAATAAAATGTTAGAAACAACCTTCCTTCCAATCAAAGAAATATGTGGATAATCTTACCTGTGACTTCTGTCATTTGAGAGTACTGAGGCCTGAATTAATGATAAACAGATTTAGTTGGCACACACATCTGTTGTCAAATGTGTGCAGATGATACAGTTCCATTTCACAGCAATGCACCATCCCCAGCCAGCTCTGGTGACCTCAGCTCCTCTGCTGCCTCCCCCTCCCATTTTCCCTGGGCTGACACTGAGGGGATGAAGGGACAGCTCTGAGCCAGCAGGGCCAGGTGGCACCAGGTCAGCACCCAGCAGGGACATTTTTCCCCCTCCAAGAGTGGAGAAATGGCAGCAAAAGCATCTGCAGAAAAACCAAGCTCAGTGAAGTGGCTGCACAGCTCTGATTTGAACAATGGAGCTTCTGGGGGTTGTTTGTCTCTGGTTTTTGTTGTTTTTAGGCTGGGGGAACTCTCCTCCCCACATTGCCTTTGTTTCCCAAATATTACATGGAGCAGGTCAGGACAAAGGCAGGATCGACTGGAAGCATCTGCCAGCATGGTTTTTTTGTTCCCTAGAGTGAATACCCCTTTGAGGGTGAAACACCTTTTCTTTTGTATATTTTTGCTATTAATACAGCTGTTGTTGTTATTGTGTGTCTCATTCCACTGCGTTCTGGTGTTAGGAAATTGCTATTTCAAACCATGATCTCTCCTTCACTGGAAGGGGTAGGGGAAAGAAGAGTGGCTTATTTGGAGTTTAATTCCTTCCAAGCTCCAGGGAGACTGAAGCCTTTCAGTCATCAAAGGGAAGTTCTAAAGAAGAGGGAGAGGGACTTTGTACACTGACAGTGACAGGACAAAGGGGAATGGTTTTAAACTAGAAGAAATTTCAATTAGGTGTTAAGAAAGAAAGAAAGAATTTCTTTAAAAAAAGTAAAGAAAGAAAGTTTTTACTTAAAAGAGTGGTGAGGCCCTGGGAGAGCTTGCCCAGAGAAGCTGGGTTTGCCCCATCCCTGGAATTGCTCAAGGTTAGACAGGACATGGAGCATCCTGATCTATTGGTAAGATCCCTGCCCATGGCAGGGGAGTAGAACCAGATGATCTTTAAGGTCCCTTCCAGCCCAAATAATATTTTAATTCTATGGTAACTCTGAGTTTTAAGTGTTCTCTGCTTTCTGTGCATGTCTATTTTTTGACAGTCATTTAATTTATTATATAGCAAGCAAAATGGAACTGGGAATGCCCTGATGACTCTCAAGCAGCCCAGGTGGCTGAGGATGAGGTAACAGCCAGATGCAAGCTTTTTGGATTTCCATCTGTTTTTCTTGGAAGTCAGAAAGTGTCCTCTTAGCCAGGCCATGTACAGAGGCCCAAGTGATGTCAGCAGAGTTCTGAGGGCATGGAAGAAAGAGAAAAATCTCTTTAAGATAAGTATAAGCAGAGTAGCCTGCTGCTTTTTTATTGCATCCAGAACCAGCACCATTTCCTGGCATAGTTAATGGCACCAGTAATTAAAATCATGTTCATCACATCCCTTGGCTTTGAAATTTCTTGCAAGAGTTGTGTGGCTAAGGAAAGTAAAAGGTTCATAGCAAAAGGGTTTCTGTTTCTCACCTCCTGTACAAACAGGAGTTTCTGTGCCTAATGCTTCTGGATGGTAGAGACTCTGAGACTGAAGGGGCTCCTTTAAAACATGTAAATTTCAAATAATTTTCTTAAAGCAGAATATCATTTCTTATTTTCAGTCTTTCTATCAGATCCTTCACAGGACAGAAGTAGAGTCTTCTCTGGGAGAAGACTACTTTTTGCACAGATGATGCAAAAACCTTTGTGGGAGATGTTCCATGCCAAGGAGACAACACACAGGAAATACCAACAGGCAACTTGTACCCCCTCCACTTGACTTTTTGTCACCTGTTTGAAAGTCAGGGTAAGTTTCATTCTTAAAACGACACAAAGTCTTATTTCATAGCCATGTGTCACCTCAGGTCCTCTCTCAGCTGGGAACAAACCTTTCCTAATACAGGGGGCTGGAAGAGGAGCTTCTCCACCCCACAGGTTCTGTGTTAGCTGAGCATAACAGCTGCTGGATATTGTCCCTGCCCTCACTGTAATAAGAAATTTTAATACAATCTACAACAAAAAATGGAATTTCTCTCTAACATCAATTTGGCAGAAGTTTGCTGTGATATCACCAATGGTTTCCTTTCACCTTCTGGATCCTGGGTGGCTGCCAGGTCAAGCACCAGACTCTACTGAACCAAAGTGGATTGTAATTCAACAAAAACCTGAACACATCCTGAAACCAGGGAAGATCTCTCCTGTTCCAATCTATTTGCTCCAATTTTATTTGATTTAGTGAATGGAAAATTGCACACACAGACACCTACTTCAATTTAAGGATGACTTATCACTTAGTGTACCTTAAACCTGTTACACCTACTCTCAGTTTACATAACCCAAACTGAAACAAGCCACTCAAAAATGAAATAAAATATCCAAGTTACCCCTTTAAGTCAGTTTTAAAACAAATCTTAGTTTACTTCACCTCACTTTTCTCCTGCATACAAACACTTCAGCAGGTTTAAAACAAACCAAATTTGGAAAAAGAAAAAGAGAAAGGTGAGTGGAGAGGTAAAAGAGACAATGTACCTTTAGTTACAATACCATAGACTTTAGAAATATTAAAAAAAAAATCCTTCTAGTATTCAGAGCTTTGATATTTTGATACTGTCAATTCAGAACAAGCATAAACCATTTAACCTGAAGAGAACACTAAGCAGGCCTGCCAGCAAGCAGGAATTCTTTGCTAAACTGGAATACAGCTCTTAAACAGCGAAGATCCTACGGGTCTGACTGCCAAGAAAACACATTCATTTACAAAACAACCTTGAAGGACTGCTTTAAACCTCAAGTTGCCCAGTGAGACCCATGCCAACCCTCCCCCGTTAAATACACGTATTTGCCCTGAAATGTGAATCACTGAGCCTGCAGAGATTCCATTTAATTAATAAAAAACTCTGATAGCAAAGGATTAAAGGGATTATGCAGCCAGAAAACAAAGTAAAAAAATTAAAGTCTGCTTTTGTGTGCCATTCATTTACTGCCTACGCTGAGTGGACGACAGCTAAATGCCAAAGTTTATTAGCATTCCTCTTAATTAGTCAGTGGCTCCTGCCCACACACTGAACTACCTGAAATTTGTCCTCTGATATCAGTTATGGATATTGGAGTGATAAGTAATCCTAAGCCTCTGTGATAAAAACAGGAAGAACATGAGTACAACAAATGTGAAGAGCTAGATAGAAATTTTTTTTAAAAAAGCACAAGGACACCTGTGACAAAACTGTTTTGTTCTATCACCACTGTAGATCAAAGTCCTTATCCTCTAGCTCTTAGAAAATGAAACAGGGCAGAGAGTAAAACAATGAACAGATAGTAAACTATTACTAAGTTTCCAATTAAATGATTTGTAGTAAGAAACTAATGAGTCAGAGCACCATGCAATTAACAGAGTATGAAGTAGTTTCAGGCAGGGA